CACTCTGCCCAGACCGCCAATGGTTTTTAATACCTTGATCAAATCACGCCCCCAGTGAAGACAGTCTCAACTTCTTCAGACTTTCTACAGGGGCTATTTTTATAAACTTTTCAGCGCCCTCTTTAAAGTCATTACATGCTTCATAAAGTGTTTTGCCCAGAACTGGGCCCAGTATTCTATTTGAAGCCAAACTGTGTTATAGAAGTTAAATGTACCTTTTTCACTTTTGTACTCCATGCCTCTATTGATAAAGCACACAATTCCATATGCTTCAATGACTGTTCTCTCAAATTATCCTACAGTTTTCAATGATTTATACACATATACAGTTGTATTCTTTTCTCCTACCCCCCTTTTAAAATTGAAACCTTCATTTTGCATTGTATCTTCTCTCCAAGTTCTTTCTACCAAAATGAATTGCTTGACACATGTTAAATTTCATCTGCCTCTTGTCCACTCTTTCCATCAATCTGCCTATGTCCTTTTGAAGCTTTACATGATTCAGAATGGTTCAATGTTTTGCATCACCTGCATTTTTGAAATTCTACTCCAAAGTTGAGATCACAAAATATATCAGGAAGAGCACTGATCCCTGGGGGAATGCATGACAAAACTTCTTCCAGTCTGAAAATCAACTGGTTACCATTACTCTGTTTCCTGTTTCTCAGCCAATTTTGTATCCTTGTTGCTACTGTCACTTGAGCTCTAACTTCCATGAACTTTGCTCCTAGGCCTATCATGTGACACTTTATCAAATGTCTTTTGGAAGTTCATGCAGCATTACTCTCTTTAGCCTTCTCTGTGAGCTCATCAGACTCTAACTACAATTAAGAAAGGATGAACCATTGACATATAACTCTACTAATTAAAACTTTTCTCATTAACAATTTTAAATCTGGCCAGTGTCTGAACTACATCTCTTTCACCCTGACATGGACAATATCTTATTCCTTGGTAAAGACAGATGACAGTATTAACTTAATACCTCAGCTGTGCCCTTATTTCCTGGTCCAAATACTCTTTATGGTCTCTGAGCAGTCCCATGTCACTTCTTTTCATCTTTTTACGATTCAAATGCTTGTAGAAGACACTTTGATTCCCTTTCATTATAACTTACAGTCTCTTTTCATATTCTCTTTTTTCTTGTACTTTTTTTTCAAATTCTTGTCTGAAATTTCTATGTTCAGCCTGGTTCTCAATTGTATCATCCACTGACATTTATCCTAGCCACGTTTTCCTGCTTGATTTTAAATTTCTACTTCCATTATCATCCAGGGAGATTTAGGTTTGTTCATTCTCCCCACCCCCATCTCAAGGAATATAGATAGTTTTAAACAGCATTTTCAGACAGGTTATGTCATACCTCTAGTGCAGGTGGGTCTTGTGGTCCAGAGGAAGAGATATTACCACTCTACCAAAATAGCCCTCATTGTAGGAATTTACCTTAATTATTCTTTAACTATCTCTTCTGTAAAGGCAGCCCATTTTTTGATACAGGCCTGCTTGTTAATTCTTGTTTCTAATTTACCTGGATTAGATCCATTCTTATGCCCTGAATTTGGCTTTCCTCCAGTAAATTATTCCGTGTCTGGATACAAAGATTGCTATCCCCGATATGATCCACTTGACTCATCCCATTCCTGAGAACTAAGTCTAGCAGTGCCTTCTTTCTCATTAAACTAAAAACATACTGCAGTAGAAAATGTTCCTTACACTCTACAATCTCTAAACGCTCTCTTCTCTTTTACAGTACTACCATTCCCAATCTATATTCAGATAATTATGCCCTTACAATAACTACTTCACAATTCTTGTATTTTCATGTAACTTCCTTCAAAGTTTGTTCTTCAGTATCTTTCCCACTTATTGGCAGCGTGTGGACTACACTGATCAAAGTCATTGCACCTCCGCTTTAGCCAAATCAATTTTGCCCTTGACCCATTTGAGATACTCTTGCTTTACAGCAATGCAGTGTTCCTCTTAAGGAATATCGCCACCCTCTTCATTTCCTTCCTGCAATTATTTTTGAGCTTAGAACAAACACCCACATCTTGGAAGATAAAGATTTAGGGATTCAGTTTTACAGACGTCTTGGCTAAAACCAGCTGTGTAAAATAGTTGCTTCTGAGAAAGGGAGGTAGTTTAAAACTGTTAAGAATGCAGTTACCTTAGTTGGAATTTAGTTTTAAAGTTCCAGGCGAGAAGTGTTTTGTGAAAACTGTGAACAGTTTATTTGAAGCTGAGAAAAGTTAAGCTCTTTTGTATAAAGGCTCCAAACAGTAACTGTCAGATTCTCAAGATGGGGCACTGAAGCCACTCTTAAATTAAGTCTTGTAAACTTGAAATAGAAGAGAATCCTCTTTTCTGTGAGGACTGTAAAGGAGGGTTTTCTGATTAAATGGATTGCATTTTATTGTGACTTTCAAGATCTTTAAATTCATGTTATATATAAATAGTTTGGTTTATTCTATTTATCTTCATTTCTTTTGCGTAATAAACTTCTGTTTTATTGTTAAACCCAAATTTGAAGCATTGTGTGTTTATGTTTATGTGAAAGACAACCTCATCCAAACAAAATAAAAAATCAATCAAGCCAGATTTCAGTTTGGGAACTGATTTGTCCAGTAGTAATCAGCTTGGATCATAACAATAATATGAGTATCCAGATGGAAATCAGTGGGACACGTAATGTGAGTTTGGATTCACAATCCTCTAAGTAAAACATTTTGGACTGCTGTGGGATTCTCCTTAATTTTAAATTTTACCCTCCAGATTAATTTCTGAAATTCCCTCTTTTAATGGCATTGTGGGCTTTCCTATATTAAATGGATGATAACGGTTCAAGGTGGCACCTTACCACCACTTATCAGGAGCAACTAGGGATGGGCAATAAATGCTGGCCCAGCCAGTAATGTCTACATCCCATGACCAGATAAAAGAAATTACAGATTTTTTTTGGAGGCATTAAAGAAATTGCAGAGTGGAGAGGAAAGTTGAACTAAGGTAGAAGGTCAGGTATGGTTATTTTGAAAGGTAGAACAGACAAGAGGAGCTATATTATCTACTTCTGCTCCAAATCATTATGCTGCCGTGTGAACTGGATTCCACTACTTTTTCCCACCATTTTCCCTGACCTTTAAGTAATCCCCACTGCCAGAATATGTAGCTCCCTCTATACTTTGCTTCATAGTGTTTTTACTGTTATAATTCTCACCTGTTACCACTTCAGAAGTCAGATCAGTCTTCCTGCGAGTCAACCCAAGGAAAGCGACAGGCCCGGACGGTGTCCCCGGCCGAGCACTCAGATCGTGTGCGGACCAAGTTGCAGAGGTATTCACCGACATCTTCAATCTCGCCCTCCTACAAGCTGAAGTCCCCACCTGCTTCAAGAAGACCGCCATCATCCTCCTACCCAAGAAAACACATGCAGCGTGCCTTAATTACTGCAGCCCAATAGCTCTAACTTCAATAATCATGAAGAACTTTGAGAGGCTGGTCATGGCCCACATCAAGTCTAGTCTCCCACCTGCCTCGATCCCCCTACAGTTTGCCTACGGACATAACAGGTCCACAGAGGATGTCATATCCCTAGCCCTGCACTCATCCCGGGAACATCTGGACAGCGAAGACACCTACGTCAGACTCCTGCTCATTGACTACAGCTCCACCTTCAACACCATTATCCCCTCCAGACTCATATCAAAACTGTGTGACCTTGGTCTCGGCTCCGCCTTCTGCAACTGGATCCTCAGCTTTCTGACCCACACACTGCAATCAGTGAGGATAGGTAACTGCACCTCCTCCACAATAACACTCACCACTGGATCCCCCCCCTCAAGGATGCATCCTCAGCCCCCTACCGTACTCCTTGTACGCCTACGACTTTGTTGCCAAATTCCAAATGAATGCCATCTACAGATTCGCCGATGACACCACTGTAGTGGGACGGATATCTAACAACGACAGGTCGAAATACAGAAGGGAGATAGAAGGCTTGGTGATGTGATGCAATGAAAACAATCTCAACGTCGGCAAAACTAAAGAACTGATCAACAACTTCAGAAAGAAGGGACGAGAACATGCCCCATCTATCTCAATGGAACTGAGGTTGAGAGAGTGAAGAGCATCAAATTCCTCAGAGTGACGATAACTGACAACCTATCCTGGACTTCCCATGTAAATGCGATAGTTAAGAAGGCACAACAATGCCTCTTCTTCCTCAGGCAGCTTAGGAAATTTGGCATGTCCATAAGGTCCCTCACCAACTTCTACAGATGCACCACTGAAAGCATACTGTCCGGGTGCATAATGGCCTGGTATGGCAACTGCTCTGCCGAGGACCATAAGAAACTACAGAAGGTGGTGTGCACAGTCCAGACCATCAAGGAAGCCAACCTTCCATCCATGGACTCTATTTACATGGCTCAACATCATCAAAGACCCATCACATCCCGGTAATGATCTCTTACAACCTCTTCCGTCAGGCAGAAGACACAGAAGCCTGAACACATGCACCAGCAGGTTCAGGAACAGCTTCTTTCTGGCCATTGTTGGGCTGTTAAATAGACTCTAGTCTCAAATAATGTAACCTGCAATATGACCTGTATGCCTCAAAGTCTTTTTGATCTGTACATCCTTTTCTTGCTGTGTTCTGCCTGTACTGCTCGTAAACAAAGCTTTTCACATTTCGGTACACGGGACAATAAAATCAATCAATCAATCAATCAATCAATCCACCTGGAAAGAAAATTCAGATTGTGGTATAAATTGTTTTGACTGATTTACCTTATTCCGTGGAAAGGAGATTTTGTGTAGTCAAGATGGGTAGTCATTTGGGTAGATGTCGTTTGGGTAGATGTTTATACCTTTAATAGTTTTTAAAGGTACTGAAAAAAAATTTCTTATAACCGTACTGAGGTTTGATTCTCATTTAGTTGTTATTCACTGCTTTGTATCAAATAGTGGGTAAGAAATATTAACACTCATCTTACCTTTCCTAGCTCCTCCAGAAAAACTACTACCGTGTGAGGCGCTGCATCATGGTACTGGTAAATACTGGTCGCTACATTAACAGCTGCTTTGAATGGGAATCACCACAGAGGAGTCTCACTGCTTTCCTGGTATGTAGAATTCACAGGCAAAATCAACACAGAAATGTTGATGGATCTTGGGTGTATTAATGAAATGCACAGTCATGCTCACTGATTGAAACAGAGTCTGACTTGTACAGAAAAGGGTTAATCAACACTTCCAATTAAATTCAGTGAAATAATGTATTTATGTTAGGCTTATCTAGGAACACTTTGACATTGTAGTAAGTATATTAAGAAATAATTTTCACTGTGTAGAGTAATAAATTAGTTTACATTAGAGTGACAATCATG